GCTGGAAAACGATTGCATTGCAACGCAGTTTGTGCAAGTCCAGAACAGAGACGAGTTGCTTGCAATAAGACAAAAAACGTCCGGTTGCCGATCACGTAAGTTCCAGGGGAGTAAGTTCGGCCATCCTACACACACGTGACTGACCGCTCGCTCGCACCAACAGGAGGAGGAGGGTCGTGTTACTCTCTACACTGCACTCAACCTGAGAGATTCCTACACTTTCAGTCTTTGAGGAGGACATGAAAATATTAGTGGTTTTGAAACTGTGACATTTCCAAATCCCAGTATACCTTGAAACCGGTAATCGGCCCATGCCTAGTGTGTAGACTGTACGATGATGACACCTATTGGCTCGTACGCTACAACACACGTTACTACAGAAGAATAAAACGTCATCAGCATGCGCTAGTGGTAAACAAAAAGAGCATGATACATTTTAGCAGTTGTATTTTATGTGTGCTGAAAAAAAGTGAAAGTGGCAAAAGAGGAAGAGATAAGAGCTTGAGGCAAGCAGTTTTATATTTTAGCGCCATGTCGCGTTGAATTCATGTCACATTTTTATTGGTTGATGAGTAAACGTGGATCGTAACAGCAAACACACTGTGCGATGATCATGCTGTATCGTAGGCTATCTTTGGTCGCAAGACAGTGATAACGGCCGTCTTTGAACCTCTCTCACTGTATGACACAGGACCACCGGTCACAGAAATCGCCCCGATTGTTTCACGATGCCAGTCTTTGCGATGCCATCTGGGACAGATGAAAATCGTGCAGTGTTTAAGGCTTAATACAGTCCATGATGTGGCAACTAGTCTTAATTTTGTCAGCTATTTTCAATTTTAGTCTTAGTCTAAGTCTAAAGCCCTTACTCTTACTCAAATGGACATTTTAGTTATCATATATTTAGTCAAAACTTGTCCTGTTTTGGTTTAGTTTAAGTCAATGAAATGTATGAGCATTTTAGTCAGGTTTTAGTCAAATCTTAAGCCCAATTCGGACGGGACTAGTTTTACAGGGGGTCGTTAGAGAAATGTGTTTCACAGACGTACTTGGTGATTTTAATCCCATCCGAATCTGCCACGTCTGGGTTTTTCTCACACAACCTCTGTAATAATTTCAGAGCAAATTATCTACTGTTTTTCAGCAAACTGAGTGATCCTCTGAGAAAACGAATCCCGTCTGAATGCGAATGTCTGTGATTGCCGGCGATATTTTTTTTTCACACTGCGTTTCCTTGTGTGTTTTGGCCAACGTGAATTACCGTACCACGCGCATGTTTGATATATTTGCCTCCCGGCAAAGAAATAAAAAAAAATAACAATAATAAAATCAAGAGCCAGATCACGTAAACTGTTAAGTTGGTAATCAATCCGAATGACTAACTTATACGCAATGCACGCATACAGAGTGCGTGATCTCTAAAATGCCCAGATGTACAAAACAGACCCTCCCACCTCTGTAATAAACACAGAGATGTTAGTCCCGTCCGAATTGGTACATGAAAATCGCAGACGTCAGGTGATAAGAATCGAAACTCAAACGTAGTTTAGAAAACTAGTCCTGCCGAATAGGGCTTTAGTCCCATTTTCGTCATGCTGTATAATGGTTAAACTGATCAAAATTATTTTTGCTCAAAATTATAATCTCAATGATTGCTGTCATTTGAGAACATTTCAGGTATTGCACTTTCAAAACTTTTTCAAAAAGCACAAATCAATAGAATGTGGACTCCTACACATGGCGTATTTCACCTCATCTAGTGTACTGATTTATTACAGGCTTTTTATTATATAAATGAATACCAACGACTTATGCAATCTCTGTCTACATTATGAAAACCGCTAAAACAAACGAAAAATATTATAACAGTGAAATTCCTTCCAAATGGCAAAAGCCTATAAGGAAGTTTCATTCTTATAGTGAAGACTATACTGTTTAATTTTACATTTGATTATTCAATTTCTGTACAGCTGTTAACTGAATACTTTATATTTGGATAAAAACTTATTTCTATTTTTCCTATTGTATTTGTCCTTTGCTTTTTTTATTGCTGACATTGAATTATTTTCAATAATTTTGAGGACGTTTTTTGTCTTTTACTAATGAGTTAACCTAGTATTCTGCTGTGGAATTTAGAATTTTGGTCAAGCTGCTAATGCTCATCAGTAAATCAGTGGAAAATAAGTAAAAATCATGATTCTGTCTGAGCTATGCGTTTTAAAATGAACACGCACTAGTGTAAATGTAGCCTAACAGAATGCCTAGTGTTGTCATGATGCTGGAATCTATCTTCGATATGATACCTTAAACAATATCGATATAGGCATCAGAGGCATCCAGCTATCACTGTATCTAATAAAAGTAAGATAGAAATGCTTTGACTGATTAAACATGAAGACAGTAAACACACGATTGTGGCAATATATTGTTTATCTGTGCTCTTCAAGCCATCTTGGGTATTTTTATAAGAAAAAAAATGCATATACTATGCATAAAAGACTTAGTTATTACTTGTAATGCAATGCTAATCAACATAGCACGTGTTACAGTATAGTATACTATAAAACAATATATTTTTGGCTTCATTCTGTGATAAGAAGCCACATCAGATCACGGAAAAAAGAGCATTGAAACAGTTTCAGATATTTCAGCATTGATATGTGTTGAAAAATCATCATTTCTGACAACGCTAATGTCTTGTGTATTGTTGTAGTAACTGTATTTTTGAAATCAATAAAAAGATGGTCTTCTTTCTGCTTTAAAGGAACTTCAGCATTCGTCACTTTTAGGACTACTTTTATCAAGATACATATGTATGTGATCATTTTTTAAAAACCCTTTAGTTGGACGCTTCATCCATAAACCTCACTGTACGCCAACACAGAAGTCCGGCCCTTTAGCTTGCTTGGTAATGTGTTTACAGACTAAAAATCGAATAATCTCAGATCTTCCTTTGAGTATGTTTTGTTGCGCAAGCTACAGTGTGCTTTGAGGTTTGAACTCAAGCCATTTGTGGTTCAAAAGAGGAAACATGAGGGTAGATTCAGGAGACATGAATTGAACAGGAGTGGCAGAAAGGAAATGGTTCATTTTTTCTTGTTCTGAGGTGGCCCTGTGATGAAGCCAAGTGCTTTATTTTAAAATATTACATCAAGCAACGTTACACAGTCTTTCAGCTAATTCCATATATACACACACAACACTAAAAGGGTCAGCTATTATTATTATTATTACCTTTTTATTTATTTAAATTTATATTCATAGTGAATTGGTGATGTTTCATGTAGTGTAAGCTAACACAATACATCTATGTGAAGCTTTGCATGTTAAACCTGATGGTGTGCTTTGATTACAAGCCTATACTCTATCACTGCTAAGTTAACTGTGCCTCAGTATACCCTCATTTTACAGATTTGTAGAGGCTGAGAACAGGTTTTGCTTCTGCAAGTCAAGACGGATCTTGTTTAGACCCTATCATTAATGTTTAAGCAGACACATTCTTCAGTTCAGTTCAGATGTGGGACAGTGTTAGCACCGCGGCGAGAGAGAGAGAGAGCGAGCTGCTGACGCCTTGCTTCTGTTGGAGATGAACTGGAAAAGTGTGACGCTGCTCTTAAACATTTCTAATGCTGATTTTCCCCAAACATCAGCACGGCCATGTTTAGGCTGTATGGAACAATTCAGGCGACAGTCGTCCATTTCTCAGAACGCAAATGCAGTGTTGTACTTCTGCAGTTAAACAGCACGTGAGCTACTTTGGCTTTTAAATACAGTGCTCGTCTGAATTTGACTGAATTTGTTTCTCCTTATCTTGAAAGCAGCTTATAATAATTGAAATTAAATGAATAATCTTGGTACATATGAATTTCTTTAGAACACAGGAAAACCAGCTAGCAAGAGTCCAGTGTACATGTGAACTCCTTCGATATATTTATGAAGTTAGTTGAGAGAATGAACAAGTTCATCCACATTATTTGTTAAACAATAAAGCCAGTCAGGTTTGCTTTCTGTTTCACTGCTGTGAGTCTCATCTCAGTATCTGTTTTATGTGCATTTGCATGGGAGACTGTAGGTTGGGATCCTGGGAGTTTACGGTAATTTCGTGATGATGTAAGCTCTCCATTTGTGGCGTCACATGCTGTTTAGCCAACAGTATTTTCCTGCCGTATGAAGGATGTACCAGTCTAGAACAAACCTGCGTTTATTATTTGTTTTGGTGTGTAGTCGGCTAAAGGCATGCATCATGTACTTCTGTCACAGCTTAATATGCAAAGACAACTAAATAAGTCATTCATAAGTTAAACACTGTGGCTCTGTGCAGCCTTCAACATTGCTCTTTTTGTTGAGCAGTCCAACATATCAACTGAATTAATGGAATGTTCATATATATATCTACTTAAGAGATGATTGGACTGTGATGACATTTGATTTGGTCTGCAATGTTGTAAAAGAGGGGAAGAAAATCAGGGAAAGTGAAGCATTTATTCAATGGGCCAAAAGACCTTAAGACTATATAAGACACATGATGCTTAATTTGAACAGCAGTAACTGTGTGCAGCGATAGTCTCTTTGCAATTGTAATTGTAATAGAAAATGTGTTTTATTTTTTAGTGCGCTCAAATAATGCAAGTTCATATTGCTGATAAATACTGGTTCATAAATCAGTTTTCTCAAATGATCTGGGGTTGTGTAGTGTACTCAGTTTTTACTCAATTCATCAGGTATATTTCAGTGATTTCACAGCTTTATAATTAGAGTGTGGGATACATTCATTCTGTTGTCAGAGTTTGACTGAGAAGCAAACCTGTAATTACATCAGTCATTTTTCTTTGTGCTGATGTTGGGCTGTAGATGATTTGTTAAAGCCATCGGGGTGAGCGGTGCGTAGCAGACTGGACTGAAGTGAGGAGAAGATGACAGTGTGAGAGCTGAGGAAGTGTCAGTGGAAATTCTTTAAAGGGGAAACAAATACCAGAGAGTGTGACGGAAAGGACAGAATCAGCGCCAACTGGGTCATGGTTGAACGGTAGCGGCTCATACGTCTCTCTCCACACACACACACACACACACGCATTGTGTTTTCATGTTTTATGGGGGACATTCCATAGGCGTAATGGGTTTGATACCGTACAAACTGTATTTTCTATCACCCTACACCTAAACCTTCCCCTCACAGGAAACTTTCTGCAATTTTAGATTTTCAAAAAACTTAATTCTGTATGATTTATAAGCTTGTTTCCTCATGGGGACCTAAAAATTGTCCCCACAAGGTATCCTTACTATCCTACACACACACACGGATACACACAACCTAATCAGGTTTCCTTTGAACCGTTCAACAGGATGTATGCCACAGCATAATAAGGCACTTCCTCTTTTATGTTGTTCTGTCTTGTGTTTGGTTTTTCCCCTTTTCCCATTTGTCCTCTCAGTTATCTCACTCTCACACTGATAATGTGATACTCAGACATCTAGTGTGATAGCATTCCATTCTGTTGATAATTTGTTCAGAAAACGACGTCACTGTCATGGGCTTAAAGCACTGGTCTCAAACTCAATTCCTGGAGGGCCACGGCTCTGCACAGTTTAGCTCCAACCCTAATCAAACACACCTGATCCAGCTAATCAAGGTCTTCAGGATCACTAGAAACTTCCAAGCAGGTGCGAGTTGGAGCTGGTTGGAGCTAAACTCTGCAGAGCTGCGGCCCTCCAGGAATTGAGTTTGCGACCTCTGGCTTAAAGGGATAGTTCACCCAAAAATGAAAATTCTGTCATTAATTACTCACTCTCGAAGGTCGAAGGACATGAGGGTGAGTATGACAGAATTTTTTTCATTTTTGGGTGAACTATCCCTTTAAAGTGCTAATGGCATTACTGCATTTTATTTTACCACTTTAAAGAAAATAGCTATTTCTGTTAAAGAATTGAATTAAAAATGATGTCATCATCTTAATGTAGTTTCAAACCAGTATACTGTTACATTTTTCTGTAGAGCACAAAAAGAAAAATGTCAAAGAATATATATGAAATAATCATCAAATGAAGCCCTTCAGCAGAATATCTTAGACTCCGGGATTGGCTCTTTGAATAGTTTAAAATCCAAAGCTGATTTGTAAATGAACCGTAGTGGCCTTTTGATGCGGTGTTAGTAACTCATGACAGACGAGGTTGTTGTTGTAGCAGCCAAACGGTGTTAATAATGCTTGCTCTGTTCCAACAGTTGTACTCAATGTAGAAAGTTATGCTTCATTTAGTCATTTCAAAGAAGCTTTGCCAACAGCACTCCACTGAGCCAACTGGCCAAACGTCAGACTTCCCACATGTCAGCGTGATCGGAAAAGAGTCCGAGACAGACAGGAATGTCTGTGCGTATTGCCAGAGGCGCTGAAGAGTAATCTCTGTCTAAACGAGGATTAGAAGGACTTTATGACGAGCATTTTAAAAGTTATTACTATGAAGCAACTGACATTATGCATGGTATTTATACATTTATGCATGCATTTTTCCTCTTATTATTATTACTATTCACTACCAGTTTAGACTTCATGTTGGGGGGAGGGATTTCCCACGTATGCTGGATACATTGCCTGCTTTTTCTTCAAAGTCTGCTTCAGCTCGTCAATTTAATGTAATTTAATTTAATTTAAAAATTACAAATAAAAGGAACATTTAAAATTCAATTTCAATCTAAATTTTGTAAAAATGAATATTCTAATCAGTTTATATTTATCTAGGTATAAGCTTTTAGATCAACATTCTTCTAGGATTTGAGAAACAAATGAAACTGGTAGTGTAAATTATGTAAAATATTTAATTTGGCGTGTAATACATATATATTTTTTAAATCTGGTAAAACACACACAAACATAATCAGCGTGCAGGCACAGAGAATCCAGTGCGCACTAAGACCCAGAGAGAGCTGAAGGAGGAGACAGAAGTGGAGTCTGGTTACATCCATCGTCTGCTCTCACTGAAGCTCACGAGAGCACAAAACATGCGTGCACTTCATCTAATACATTATTTATGTCATGATAACATATGATGATTTGTGCGTGTCTTGTGTAATGTACACAAAAAAAGTACTTAGGAATACTGTCACTATATAGTTTTGCATTTAATTACAGCAAATGTTTATTATTAAATAAGAATAATTGTATAGTTTGTTTTGTTTGTGTAATTCATATTTAGAGAGTCATTTGAATTAATAAGATGATAAGCTGTTTTGCAAAATAGGTTTTAGGTAAAGACATGTTTACCTAAACTAAAAACTGGAGATGGATAGTTGACATTGAATACTTTTGAGATCCTGACATGTCCTGTGTATGTCCTGTGTATGTATGTGTACATATATATATATAATAGGTTCTTGTAGCCTGAAAAAAATTCTCATTTTAGGAGAAAATTTCAAAGAGCTTTTGGCTTTTGCATCTGAACTCTTCATATATATGGATTTTAAAAGCACGCATAGTGGGAAAAGAAAAAAAATACTACAAAATGTATTTTCATTATTTTCTTATTACAAACAAAATGATGAACAGTTAGTAGTGTACCTTAGTCTACTTGGCTATTTTTAGTAACGGGGCAGACAAACGGAGAGACAGACAGACAGATGTGGTGAAGAAAAGCCCAAAACAAATTATTTTGTCTCCAGGGAAATGTCTCAACCTGTACAAAAAAATAAAAATACAGCAGCACTGAGGCCGGTTACAGTGCGGAGATCTCCCTCAGAGTCATTCCCAAGCGTGGGAGGTGTGTGTTTGGCCAGCTTTACATGCAGAAATACTGTGAATGTGAGGCATACGAGATTCACTGCCAGTTCTGACACTTGCCATCTTTATGGAGAAGTTTGACAAAGCAGAAAGGATAGTTAATGAGTTGGTTATAAAAATGGGAAAATACGTTTGGTGTTGAAGTGAAAGTCATAATTTCAGGAATACCGGTAATCCCAGCATTTGCCAAACACGCTCAGACTGCATCGAGATGATGTACATTTAAAGGGGTCCTATTATGCTTTTTCACTTTTTCATCTTTAAGTTATTTAGAGAGATTTTATTTAACAGAAATCACTTTTCAAAAACTACAACGAATGACTCGTTTGGACTACAACGCATATTTTCCGGGATTTGTGATATCACAAATATCGACGAATGGGACGAGACCTGGTTGAGCTGCACTAGAGAAGGCAACGAGTGTTATCACTATGTCGGAGACACGCTAGCTTTCCCAAGACCCAGAGAGAGCTGAAGGAGGAGACAGAAGTGGAGTCTGGTTACATCCATCGTCTGCTCTCACTGAAGCTCACGAGAGCACAAAACATGCGTGCACTTCATCTAATACATTATTTATGTCATGATAACATATGATGATTTGTGCGTGTCTTGTGTAATGTACACAAAAAAAGTACTTAGGAATACTGTCACTATATAGTTTTGCATTTAATTACAGCAAATGTTTATTATTAAATAAGAATAATTGTATAGTTTGTTTTGTTTGTGTAATTCATATTTAGAGAGTCATTTGAATTAATAAGATGATAAGCTGTTTTGCAAAATAGGTTTTAGGTAAAGAAATGTTTACCTGAACTAAAAACTGGAGATGGATAGTTGACATTGAATACTTTTGAGATCCTGACATGTCCTGTGTATGTATGTGTACATATATATATATATATATATAATAGGTTCTTGTAGCCTGAAAAAAATTCTCATTTTAGGAGAAAATTTCAAAGAGCTTTTGGCTTTTGCATCTGAACTCTTCATATATATGGATTTTAAAAGCACGCATAGTGGGGAAAAGAAAAAAAATACTACAAAATGTATTTTCATTATTTTCTTATTACAAACAAAATGATACACAGACAGACAGATGTGGTGAAGAAAAGCCCAAAACAAATTATTTTGTCTCCAGGGAAATGTCTCAACCTGTACAAAAAAATTAAAATACAGCAGCACTGAGGCCGGTTACAGTGCGGAGATCTCCCTCAGAGTCATTCCCAAGCGTGGGAGGTGTGTGTTTGGCCAGCTTTACATGCAGAAATACTGTGAATGTGAGGCATACGAGATTCACTGCCAGTTCTGACACTTGCCATCTTTATGGAGAAGTTTGACAAAGCAGAAAGGATAGTTAATGAGTTGGTTATAAAAATGGGAAAATACGTTTGGTGTTGAAGTGAAAGTCATAATTTCAGGAATACCGGTAATCCCAGCATTTGCCAAACACGCTCAGACTGCATCGAGATGATGTACATTTAAAGGGGTCCTATTATGCTTTTTCACTTTTTCATCTTTAAGTTATTTAGAGAGATTTTATTTAACAGAAATCACTTTTCAAAAACTACAACGAATGACTCGTTTGGACTACAACGCATATTTTCCGGGATTTGTGATATCACAAATATCGACGAATGGGACGAGACCTGGTTGAGCTGCACTAGAGAAGGCAACGAGTGTTATCACTATGTCGGAGACACGCTAGCTTTCCCAA